AAAGAGGCAGACATCATATTTTTACAGATTTAGTGATGGGGTGCTAATACGGAAACACCTCCAAGGAACTTGATTATATATTAGAAGACTCTTATTGCCATTCTTGGATTTGTATGTTTATATTCCTTTCTACGTTGAAGCTCTTAATCACTGCCTTTCTGAGGAACTGCTCCAAGTTCTACATGCAGGATGGTTTGGTGTCTGGGTCTTTGGCATCAAAATTACATTTCTGTGATTTAGCCATGGGTTTTTTTCCTGCCAGCTACAAGTTTCTCTTCATCCCCTTTCATCTGGGTCAATCTGCTGACCCAGAAAACCGTGTGGCTGCATGCAGACTCCCCAGCACCAGCACGTTGAAGCAGATGGGATAGTCAGCCAAGGCAAGAGGGGAAGGGTTCCCTTGCACTGGCATCCTGGGATAACTGCAGCCTCAGGGGAAACCCACATTCAGTAACATTGGTAAAATATCTCAGTGATACCCAAGCAGGGGAGGTTTCACACATCTCCCCGCCTCCCTGTTCTTACCTTTCTCTTCCACTGCCAGTCAATGTGGTGCTGCCCACACCACCCTGCACCAGCTCCAGCGTTCGTTTTACTCATTTTAACTCAAAGGTAGGAAACTGTTCCTTGCCAACAGGCTTGGCCAGGATGAAGACAGGAAATGGAAGCACAGCTCCCACCTGTTATCTGCCACATCTAGCTACTGTGTTTGAAGGAGCCACCCCCTTAGCTTTCTGGTACCACAGCTCCTTATTATTCATAAAGGACAGTAAGTCATACTTCACTTCAGAGGAAGCCACACCAAATACTGAGACACTAAGGGATTATGGTAAGTCCTTTAACCAGCTAGACAGTCATTAACCTCAGACTGGCCACTCAAACAGCAGTCCATGGAGAATCCATACAGTATTTGACTTTTTTTTCTAAACTGTAGGGATGAACTATTCAGACTAGGAACTGGTGCCTCACTGAACAGCTCACTCTGCTGCTGTGCAAGCAGCACTAATTCTGTGGCACAAAGGATTTGTTCAGTCTTGGAGACTTCCACCTCTCACAGAGGTTAACTTTTGCTGTATTTTTGGGGTTGGCTGGTTTGTTCCTCTTTCACCATGCTCGTGCAAGGAATAAACCAAATCTGACTTTTAAAAACCTCTTCAGGAAGCAGCAGGGTGGCTGCATTACTCACAAGATACCGATGGTACTTTCTACTCACAGTGAGGCCGTATCGGGGAATGCTGAAGTACTTGAGCCAGTTCAGCCAGGCCATTACAGAAGGGAGGTTTACTAAGAGGCCTGAAAAGATCTGCAATAGAACAGAAGAGGCTAATGAATCACAAACTCTGTTTACTGCAAACAAGGACATTCCTGCACAGACGGGCAGCTGTCCAGCAGAGGTGCACTGGGGTAGATGGCCCCACTGCTGTGCCCACAGGCATGAGGTTCAAACCTTGCAGCAGCCTCAGCCAGCTGGCCCAATAGCACACCCAAGTACTCCAGCTGAACTGCTTGCAAAGAGGTCAGAAAGGCTTTCTACATCCACATATGAGCTAAGATGCATGCATGCCAACAGCTTCTTACTCTGGAGGACTGTGTCCTACAGCAGTGCTAGCCAGAGGCTAAAGAAGGATGATCAGGCGATGAGAAGGTAGAGAAACAAGAAGGAAACCATGGGGGAACCTTAATGGCTGCTACTGTTTCAGCTTTCTCATTGGACATGCATGTTTTATCTGTGCCCCTGCCTGGAACACAGTTTGCTCTTTTACTTCTTAGCACAATCAGACTCCATAGCTAAACCTGTGCCTCATCATATTTTGTGCTTACCCTGCTGTCTTTCAGAATATGCATGTGCCATTCCTTATAGACTGTGACTTAACTCAATGTACATCAGCTGCTCTTGGCTATACATGCACACGTCTCACCCAGAGCAAACGTTTGAAGTGATACACTATCACTTCTTGCAAAAGCAGGTTAAGTTGCAAATTGAAAAAGGGATGCAATGTGGGCTCAGACTATGTACACCAACAGCTACCAAGTAACACCTGGTAAGTGTTTCTTCTTACTCTAAGGTAACTTGAGAGGCCTCAGAGTCAAGAAGTTTCACCACTAACATCTCTTTGAAAAAGAAGTCACATCTTCCATCTATGAGTAGACAAAATTCCTTTCTCTCTGACTTGCTCTGTTCCTTAGAAGTCCTTGAAGAAGAGTAGCAAAGTAATTTCTGGAACCCAAGGGAAATACTGAATTAAAATAAAGACAGGGTATACTCCTGCAAATCCCACTGAGAAACAAAAATTAATGCAATAAAATCTACTGACCTAAAGTTTATTTTGGTATTTTTTCCTTTTTCATGATCTAGTTGATCACTTAGATTTCTAATATTGGAAATGCAACTTTTTTTTTTTTTTTTAAATCTATTTTTTGTAAAGACCATTGAAAAAACCTACAGGTTTTGGGGGCACACTGTTTGCAAATATCTGGTGGAATCACACCTACAGAATTGCACCTGAGCAATTATTTGATCCTTAGATCACAAGTTGGCAAGACTACCTCTTTGACTGTAGTGACAATAAAATAACAGGCATGGGGCTGACTAGACTCTGGATTCTCAGCCTGCGTAGGGCTGGCTCAACCCAGTCCTCTCAGCCTGTCTCAGCTGCTTCCTCACCTCCAAAGAAGCAGACACACCCTTATATACTTACAAGCATCAGAACAAAACAAATAGTGATGAGGAGATTGGCCACAGCCACCACATCCATCCCAGCACTGATAGCCAGAGACATGGCTGTGGCAGTGTAGGACACCAGTACGAGGCTCAGCATGAAGAAGAAGAATCGACCTGCAACAGCTTGGAATCCTGTCAGAAACGGAAAGGCAAGAGTCCAATAAACAACTACATTACGAATCTCAGAGAGGGACCCTTGGATTCCTACACAAGTCAGCGAGAGAAGGAAGAAAGACCAAGTTTGGTCTATGCTGCTCCAAAGGCCCACGAACATTACCAAAAGATGTGGTAAAGCAGGTCCCTGTCTTTGGGGTGGGGGCAGAGACACCAGCAATCTGAGTCCTTCAAAGTCAGGATGTAAAGCACTTAAATCAGTTGAAGGTTCAACTAGTTTCATTTTATAGATAAAGGAATTAAACTTGAGCTAAGTCAGAAATCAAGTGTGTTGGAAGATGACAGGTTCAACAAAAGCATCAATTCTTTACCAATCATCCAGTAAGTGATGCATGAGAATATGATGGCTGGAGCAGTTCTCATGGGCAGCAGATCTCCTATCATCAAGGCCAGGAAGTAGGCAGACACACGGTAATATCCACTGGTGTACTGATGGCTGTGAGGACAGGAAGGAGGGGAGTTGGACAGGTTTAGAGGTTATCTGGGAAGCAGGCTCAGCATGTGTGCCTGGTTTATCCTGATTTGGTTTCTGTTCACTGTACCACTGACTCCTCTCTACACATGTTGCTAGTATTCTCTATCTCTTCCTGTTCTGTAAAGTTAGGGCTGATCTATCTCACAGGGCCTGCAGTCTAGCTGAGAGCCCTCTGAGGAAAGTGAATGAAAGCTTATGTGACTGCTAAGTAACAGATGGGAAAAAAGCTCCTAAATCTCTTTTCAGAGAGAATGATCCTTAACACAAGAGTACAGGAAAGTATTAGACTGCTATTAACTGGAGGAAAACTAACACAGCTAACTCATACAGCTCTTTCCAGGGGAGAAGGAATAATACTCCACAACGGGAAAACACCTTTAGGACATCAACTCACCTCCAGTTCACAGGGCAATTAAATGTCCTTATGATTGTTCTGCTGCTTAATGGAGCTCATTAAAAGATGCTTTAATCGATGAGGTGCCAAAGTCCCCTTTGACACAGCTGGTTAGCTAAACTGGTAAATGGGGCAGACTGACAAGAAATGTCAGTGTGAGAGAGATTCACTCCTAAGCAGCTGTTAGGGGCAATTTTAAGCTGCGAAGAACAACCCGTGGGCAGACATGTGCATTCCAGGCATGAATCTCCAATTTGTTCATTACTACATAGGATCTGTCTCTTACCCTTTCATCCCATGTGCTGGAGGCTATTCCAAACTACATTTTCAACATATATGTATATATACATGAGTGTATAGAATATATACACCCATTTACACACATATACACACATACATATGCATATATATAGACAGAGATGCACTTGATTACTAGGGAGCTCTTGTAAGCCAGCCAGCAGCCCTCTTCATTTGAGCATCCCTTGCAAAGCTTTTCCAAGAAATCTCTCTTCATCATTGCACAGTCTTACCAGTTTAGGACCATTGCAAGACAACACTTTAATCCTGTCAGCAAGAGGGCAGGCTGGGTTCGTGGTCTGTAGGATTCATATGCAGACTTCAAAAGGTAGGAAAAGCACTGCTCAAACTGTGACACAACAAGCAAGTAAAAGCTGCTTCATGCATTTCAGCTCCCTGCTCTACAGACCAATTTAGCATTACTGTTACAATCTGGTGGCGCAAGGGAGCAGTCAAGTATTTGGTAGAAATAGTTTTGCTTAGCCTATAAGATACTCACCCTGCCTCACTGCAAGGTATAAGAGAGTCTAAGTGCCTTGCTACTTACACAAATAATTTCTTGTCTCTGATGAAAAGCTCGATTGCAGAGACACTGGAGAAACACTGGTTCGTGGTGACAAAAAACAAAGACCCAACCCTAGAAGGCAAAGCAGAACAGTCAAAAAGTGAAGAAACAGCCTAGATCAACACTGGCAGTCTCTGACATCATCATACTATCAAGTCAGTGCTCTTCTGTCTCTGTCCACAGAATAGAGAAATTTAATTGTGTTACTGTAGATCTTAACTGTAAAACTAGGTTTATTCCTTTATCTTCCCTTTCACATCTCCTCTGTACATATGTGAGACCCTGACAAAACTGCAGGCCCTTTAGGCCCTCAGCAATATCATGTTGCAGTGCACTGAGGTTTGTGAACCCAACCCTCCAAGCAGATCCCAAGGCCTTCTCTGTGGCTGAAACCTGTCTGCTACAGACAGAAAAATAAGCAAAGTTGTGGCTTTCCAACTTACCGATTCTGAATGCCACTTCGATCTGATTTCACACCAAAAAAGATAGCACCCACTACCAAGGCTAGAATGATGGTCACTGCAATCTAGAAGTGGAAAGAAGAAAGAGAAAATGGAGTCCTTCAGATAAGTAGGACAAACTTCTTATTAAGGCATATGCAGGATTGAAGATACACATCTGCCTAAAACTTTGCTGCTGTGAGTCAAGGTATACCTATGACACACAATTAAAAGCCTTATGGCAAATTTTCCAAGTTTATCCTCTTCACTTTTATCCTTCCTCTGACCTTTGTTGGCTGGGAAAGGTTAGTAGAAGCACACTCAAAGAATAATCAAGCTTAAAATTCCCTTTGTTGGCTGGGAAAGGTTAGTAGAAGCACTTAAAATTCCAGCTTAAAATTCGAAGTGAGGCACAATATTATCATCATCCTAGAAGCTCCCCATGTGAAGCATAGAATGGAGCATGTCACACCACTCCCCAGTCTTCAGTGCAGTAGAGATTTTTTTTCCAAAGAGAACAAAGGTAGCTGGGCATCTCACCCTACTTAAGTAGCAGCAGCACTGAACTTTCCTC